CAACTCCTTTTGAAAATTTTGCACAAATTATCTGAAAACTTTTTTTTTTTTTGGGGGGGGGGGGTTTGGTTTTCAAAACTGAATGTGCCTGTTGTTTTGTTAGCGACTCCATTGCCTTCAAGTGACAGCACTTGAGCAAATATGACTGGCCATATGCTAAACGGTCATCCTCATTCTCGAGATTTATTGTTGAGGGTAGTTGATGATTCTATGTTCCCTACTTCATCTGTCTTGATCTTGTAGTAGATGGCGCTTGAGTATATTTTTCTTTGGTAATATGAATTGATCTTCATGTTTTGTTTTCTGTTTATAATTCATTCCTTTTTCATTTTATGTTGTCAACTCTTCAGGGAGGTGGACAAGAAAATTGTTTCTCTTCCAGAGATCCGGGAAACAGGAGAGTATATTGCAGAGTTAAAGCTACATCCTGAAGTTACAGCTAGAGTTCGGTTGAATGTTTTTGCTAACTAAGCACAGCCTGTTCTGAAATTTCGTCTGCTGGTGCAAGCTTCCTGCTTCAGCCTAAGGTACTAACTATCCGACTTAACACCTCTGAGTGCCACTTATAAGTGATTAACTCTCATGAACATGGTTCCAGTATTGGAATGATTGGTGCATGGAAATGAACAAGTAGTTTGTTTGAGTGGAGGAAATCTCCTCAGCTAGTTCTTATTGTGTTAATTGAGGTTATGTTGAGCTGCAATCCATGCAATGAAAATCGAAATATACGTCGGAGTCCAATAATTTGTTTATTGTGGCGTTTCATGCAGATTCTGATTGATTTGGATGCTCATATTGGAAGGCTACAAATTTGCTGAAACTGACTGATTAAGCTCGTATATTCTAGCAGCGGTTGTTTATTGTTTTTCATGTAAATTTTTTTTGGTGGGTCCTGTGAAACAATTTCATTTTCTAGAGTTTTAAATGAAAAGATGCAATTAAAGATATTGCGAGCACACAGAAGCGAAACGTGACAGAGCAGAGCAGGACATCTTGTCCTAGTCTTGAAATAAATGACGCAAACTTAAGGAGGCAATGACCAAGAGTGAATAAGGCGAAAGTATAAGATTATTGACACATAACAAATGACCAATCTAAATGTCAGATGTAGTTTTCTTAGGTCGGTCACTGGTCTGACTCCGACCAACGCCCGAAAGAAAAGGGAAGGGGGAAGAAGAAAATTTAGAAGGCGGTTTCCAGGTCTTAACGCCCAGTTATTGATTGGTCCCTCCGTACCATTGGGCGTTAAATGACTTGATTCAGCAAAGTTTATTTCTCGTTAAAGTATTCTCTGGAACAATAATGCAAATAGTGTTTACAATTTAGCGTTCAACATGTGATAATCAATTCGTGTGACGATCAACTAATTATTTGGTGCGCATCTTTTGCATAATTAATAGGAACTCAGGTTCATCAACGGATAATAAAATTTAAAAGAAATTATACTGTTTGCGAATGATAATGTTGTTCATCCTTAAGATTTAAGTAAACGTGGCCAGTTTAAACCAACAAATCCATTACTGGCTGAAGCAACAATTTAGTTATACGCTTATCTCTTTTTCCCACTGACCAGCCAAAGGAAGATTCCATGACGGGATATAAATATCCTTTTATTTTCTGCTGAGTTATTTTGGGTGGCTTAAAGCCAGACCCTCTGTACCCGACTACAAAGGACTAGGGTGACAAAACCAAGTTATCCACGGGTGCAAAATTGGATATTATCGGGGGAGAGCATTGTGATTTGCTGATTGGCTTCAGGAGGACAGATCTATCTTGAAAAGCATGGGCAAATGTTACAAATAGCACCACGTTATTGTCAGGTCATGCACCAGTTTAAACAATACTGCCATGTGTTGATGTAATATAATCCAATATGTGGCCTATCCAATATTTGTTAACACCGTATTTGCCATGGAGGAGCCAACCAAACCCAAAGCAGTGAAGTAGATTTTAGGTAGCCATACTTCACAAAAGTAAGAACCACCACTCAAGGGATGAAAATGAGCGACCCACATTAATTGATCCGCCATCGCATACCAAACCCGTAATAGATAAGGTTAGGTTCTGCTTAATTTGGAGCCGAACTCTGCGGATCTATAGAAGGATTAGCAATTCTTTGGTGGGATCGAAATTTGTTCAACACCATTTGCCCAAATAGAAAGGCTGGCCAATGCCTACTTTTGTTTTATGGGTCATAATTCATGAAAAAAACTGATGCAGATGGCTTGCGGATATAAACAGGACAAAGAAGCCACATAGTAAACCAACTCATGCATATCTGAGGCATTTGTCCTTATCAACAAAACGTGACCGGTTTTATCACTACAGACTCCCAAGCAAAAAAATAGGATAACAACTACATGCTCTGTGTTTATTTGCTTGTGTGGTTTCCCTTCATCAGTAATTAAAACTAAAGGCTATTCGTACGGCCCTTCCAGCTGTTGGGTTTGAAAATTACGCCATAGCCTCTAATCTAATCTACTTTGTCTTGTTTCTGGTTAAGTAATATAATCCCTCAATATCTAACTCAAACCTTCTTCTTCCTTTTCCTCAAAAGGATTCTCCCATCTCGGCATCCCATATGCCCTTGTCTCTTCGCTCATCGTTAATGTGGTCTCTTAGGCCATTTGGACCCGACAAAGCTTGTTTTTAAGTTCCCCACCCTGCCTCTTGGTTCTGCCTTCTTTTTGATATATTGATGAATTAAGTGTCATCTATACTGCGGCAAAAAGCCTGATCAATAATTTATAAGTTGTACCTTGTTTTTATCTGGAAGGTCACAAAAATCTTCAATTTGGCATTGGTGCAGAGTCCGATCCTCTGTCATCGATCGCCAATAACTTTCCTTAATCAATTTAGTTCCTCTGTTGTTAGATGATGTAAATTTAACAGAGTAATTGAGATGGACTGGCCTAACAGAACCCTTTACATGTCGTCGTTAAACAAATGAAATGATTATATCCCGTACCAAAAAGAGTTGCTTTTTTTTTTTTTAATAAAAACACCGCCAAACTTCATGGACTATTATATTGCGCAAAATACATTAGGTATTTCAGTGCTCTTTTTCATCTTTCAACATTATGCATGGCAAGTTAATCACATAATAATCCATATAAGAATCCCATTAAATCAGGTGGGTAATTCGGTTGAATTTATGTTAATTTGATAAACAACTGAACTAAATTGACTGGGGAGATTATTGGGAATGATAAACTTTAGAAAGTGACGCTTTCAAATGTTAAGAAAAAATTGTGAACTAACTACTCCGGTTTTAATTGTAAGACTTAGTTTATAAATTATAAATGAGGTCTTATAATTAAGATAGGAGACGGTACATAAAAAGGAGGAGAAAAAAGAGAAGATGAAAATTTTAAGTACGAGTGTGTACAACATTTTTGAAAAAGCTAAAATTAATTGAACCCAATAATTCTGGAATTTGATCCAATATAACAAAATACTGTACAGCTACATCTACTAAGAGAGATGAAGGAAAATTAAGGATGAGATTGAGTAGTGAATGATGAAAGTTGGGGAAGAATTAAAAATGGGATGGTGATGATGGGATTATTGGGGGAAGTTGCTTGGGGAGAGGATAATAACAAAAGAGAGATATAAGCTAAGCATATTTGCAAAAGCAGAGAATAAAATGGTAGCTAGAGGTTGGATGACACCAAGGGAACCTCTCCCCAACTACATGTGCTCCTGTATTGTCAACCACCCCTCTCTCTCTCTATTTTCTTATGCCTTCGGACACCTCACGCAATGTCTGTGCCCACATGCTTTGCTTACCAGCATTCACCTTAGCTGCCCCTAATCTAATTAATTACTTCCCATCTCTCTCTCTCTCTTTCTAACTCTCTCTACCTAAATTAATTACCTCTCATCCCTCTCATGCATGCTCCGTAATAACAGGGGAATTCTATCTGTTGGAAATATCTTGGTGTGGAATTACACAAATGAAATTGATCTTGCAAGTTGATAGAGTGAGTGAGTGAGGTTGAGAGGGATAGGTTGCGACTTGCGAGAGTATGGGTGATGGGTCGTCCACTCCACAACAAAGGGTCAGTGGACCCTACTGCCTATTAATCTCAATCCAAATATGTATACAGATGTCTGTGGTCTCGGACTTAGCAGTATCTTTCTTGGAAGCATCAACTTTGTATGGCTCCAACCCCTCCCACGCATAATCCCTTTGCCCTTCTTCCCTTTCACTCCTTACTTCTTCTGGGGATAAATCCAACCCAACCTCAAACCTTGTCATTTTCAGAAACAAAGTAAAATCCAATTTATACTTGCAAAGTAAGCTAACACTCATCAGACGAGTGTCACTCAGACTGTAAATGCCGGCTCATCTATCAGGTGAATCTGTTAGGGTTAAAGCCGGAGGAAAGAGACGGAATATAATATATATCATGAGAAAAGGAATATAAATCATGCACTATATATATATATATATTGGTGATTATATATATGTGCGTGAAGGTGAGAGGTAGAGAGGGGGAGAGAGGCTCAGAAAATGAAAGATATGTACAGGTGGGTTGGGGAGGTGTGAGAGCATATGGCATGCAGTGGCATAGATGGAGTGAGTAGTGTGAGATTGAGAACGCTTTATTCTGTGCATTTAATGGAATAGTGAGAGGGAGAGAGTGTGGGTGATGCAAGAAAGAGACGCTCAGAGTGTGAGACATATCTTTTAGCTTTATTATAATTATAATTGAAAAGCACCCAAAAGGAACCTAATCCACGACTTTTGGTTGTGGTGCTGCTTCTGCCAAACCCTAGCCAGCCCCCCCCCCCTTCTCTTGTTAAACAAACAACAACACTGGAGCTCCATCCATGCACGCCCAAATATATATATATATGAAATAAATATAATTATGAACTGACGAAAAGGAAAGATGCCCTATCACTCCCTCACTTTTCGTGAATGAAAGGCAACCATGAACACTAGCCACTTACTCACTCAAAGTATTCCGATATATTCAACGACTACTAGATTATTATTGTCAAAATGGGAATAATTATTATTATTGATTATAATTATAATCCAAAGAATCCATACTTGCCAATATTTGTAAAATTAAAATTAACGCTAATAATTCACATTCCATCCATCCTTCTCCCCCATTAACAATAATTATAACTTGTTTTTCTCTTGCCTCCTCCTAATTCCTTGCTTTGCTTTCCCACGTACGCCCTGGCCTAATAATGGCAGTCCACCAGAGACGGAGCAGACAGCACCAGTGGTTTTTCTTTCGCCGGAAACTCGAACTTGGAATCCCTCTGATCCTCTTCCGGCGCCGGCAGGTTTAGATCCAACACCAGCACTTTTGGCTTCTCTTCCACCGCCTGAGGCGCGCCCACTGCTGTGGATGCCCTGTGCCTCCTCATGTGGCCCCCCAATGCCTGGCCGGACGTGAATTCTGAGCCGCATATTGAACACTCGTGAATCTTCGCTTTGTTGATTGACAAAACCCCGTTCATGTTACTGCCTAGTTGAAGAGAAATTTGAGGGACGCTTTTTATTGGACCTTCTTCGATCTCATAACTGTTGATGAGTTGCGGCTGCGGTGGCGGTTTCTTATCTTCTAACGTCATCTTAGGCTTTTTGTGGCTGGCCCTGTGCCCACCCAACGCTTGAAACGAAGGAAAACTTCGGTTACACGTTTTGCACTCGTACACAAACAAACCAACTTTGGCGGCACCGGCCGTGACGGTGGCCATCTCAGCGAATCTCCGGCTGCCTCCTGCTGGTTCTGTTCTGGCGGCTTGAGATTGAGGTCGGTGCTGAAGATTATGGGAATCCCCGCTCTGAGCCAAGAGAATTAAACAGTTAGCCATGTCTTCCTCTTCCTCAGTGCTCTCGTCGTGAGTAGTGGTGGTGGACGAAATGGAGCCGTAATCTCCACCGGCGCTGAGGTGTTCCCCGGAGACGCTTGATGAGCTGGAGGTCATGGCCGCGACGACCGCACAGGGCGAGGAGGGCCTGTGCCTCTTGGTCCGCTTGCCCTTGGCGATGTGGGTGACGGTGGCATGGTTATCAGACGGCCCCACAAACTCCAATTCCTCGGCGCCTTCCATGTCAACTAGCTTATTACACAAAGACGGAAGAGATTTATGTGTATACATATAAGCGTGTGTTCGCAGAGAGAGAAGAGAGATATGAGAGAAGTGAGAAGAAAAGGTGTAGAGTGAAGAGTTATATATATATGCGGGGAAGAGGGGTCCAAGAGGAAGCCGTCTCCTCCTCTTTGTTACATATAACAGCTAACTCTGAATGAGTCTGTCATCACTCCAAAATCTTCCTTGCGTTTCCAACCTTCGAAGTGTCACTCACAAGGAAACTTCTCACGCGCTCTCACTTCACGTCACCCTCACGCTTCCATCCTATCCACACTTTCCCCTCTCTTCCTATTATTATATTTCCCCCCCCTCTCTCAGTTGAGTTGGGTGTTACCTCTCTCTCTCCCCCCTAATTAATTCGCCCATAACTAAACATGCTTTCTGTTATCTATTTTGTAATATTGAGTATTCAGGATGTGATTAAGAATTAATTTAGATCTTAAGAGCGGAGTTGTATGCGAGTGAGCAAAGATTAGCTTGTACAAGAAAGGAAATTAGGTGAGGATTAGAGATGGAAATTAGAGGCAGATCAGATGTGGTAACTGCTAAAGTGGAAAAGTGTAGGGAAAGTTTTTATTCCCCCCCCCCCCCAAAACTAAAAGCAGTTCAAGAAAGGTTGGTGTTAACGTTCTGAGTCTGAGTCGGTTTCACTCTTTTTTTTTTTTCCCATGGAACGTAGAATAATTAAGGCAAGCAGAAGGGAGGCGTGGATAAAAATTTACTTAACCTAGCAAAGCAAAAGAAGGAAAGTGCACGTTAAAAGCATGTCAACCCCTCTTATTATATAAGATCACTCCACTATTCCTGTTTATTAAAGAAATGTACTAACCCCGTTTGAGTGATCACAGATTCGGGCGGGGTGCCTTTCAAGCAAACCCCCTTTAATCTTTAGCGGAAAATTATAAAAACTTTATGTTTTCGTTTGTTTTTATTTACGTTAATGGGGTGTGTGTGTGTGTGTTTTTTTTTGGGGGGGTGTCTTAAATTAGTGTATGAAGCAGTAAGTGAGGAGTCCAAGGAGAAAAGAAAGGGACAAATGTGGAATGTCAAGTATAGGATTCGGTTAAGGAGAGTATGTGTAGATTACAAGTATGTGACATAAGCGTTTTCATTAGGACGAGGCTTCTTATACTGCAGGCTGCTTAATTATATACTACTATTTATATTTATTAATTACATATATTCTCAGCATCTGCTTGCGGCTCATCTGTCATGATAATTAATTATTGCTAAACTACGCTAATCATTTCACTTCGTTTCTCTCAGTATTGCAACTTTCTGAAAATTAATTTACAACTAATCATCATCATCATTGCTTTGTTTTAGCTTCTAAACAAGTCTTGCTTTTTGTTAATTTGTTCGTTCCCCTGGCTTTCTCCTCATTATTAGGTGTGCCACATATGCACCTCTGATCTCTCCATCTCCTGCCGCCGCGACAGGCTTCGATGTGATATATATATATATATATATATAATATAATTAACCAATCATCAAAACTTCTAATAATCCCTGTAAATAGACCTGATTATCATAACCAAATCACAATTAGCTAGGTTTCTCTAATTAAAAACTGGAAAAAGGGCCGACCCATCACGTGATTCTATATAGTTCTAATAGAAAACCTCACATAATGTAAGTTCGTTAGATAAATTTTGACGCTGGTGAAGACAGTACATGTGTATTGTTTTGGTATTATTAGCAAAGATTACATAGGTGAGAAAGAGTTGAAAGACATAAAAATATATACTCCTCCGGTCCTTATTATAAGACCCAATTTGACTTTTTATTTGGTCCTAATTATAAGACCCAATCCATTTTGTTTCTTATATTTATGCATTTTTTTTCAAGATAATCCTTCTAATAATGATAGTTTTAGCCAATATGCTTAATTAGCAAGGATATTTTAGGAATGACAACACTTATTTATTATAAATAACCAACTTAACTTACTTCCTTAATCTCCTCAAATAAGTCAATTGGGTCTTATAATTAGGACCGGAGGAGTACATATATATATATGGTCCTTAGTATAATTAATTAATTAATAATCCTCCCCTAACTAACTGACTTCGTTACTCTAGTTAATTAAAAGCAAAAACAATAGACACAGAGATGACGGTGAAAAATATTTTCATCATTTGTAGATGGCTATAGGATTCTATAATTTATTTAAACTTGAAAACTCTTCAGGTCGCTCCATTTAGATTAGTGCTGTTGGATGTAGTTTATCTACTATCAAGTCGACCGTAATCTATATATACTATTATCTGGTTAACCGTTGGCCTGCTTCCGATGACACAGATATTATATCGACCAAATTTGACGGTGCCCAAGAATCGTGCCATCCTTAATTAATTTGTTGGTCCAAGTTAATTAAATTACTCTTCAGATTTATTATTTTATTGTATTTTTGAGTTTTGTACTTGTATCTATATATAATATGTGTACAAAATAGGTGTAGCCACATCACAAACGTCTAATTGTATTCCATATTCTGGCTCACGTAATTAGACCCCTGAAATTAGTGATTACTGAATTAGAAAAACAAAATCTTATTGTCAGTATCATCCAGCGGATGAAGATCGACAGTTGGGAAAATTAATTAAATAAACATAATATAAATGATAAATTGAAAAAAGAAACTTAATTAGGAACCAACAAGTTGTCACATTCAAACTTACTCTGGGTCACGTTTTAGTTTTAGAATCATTCTATACATCAATCTGTATCTGTACGCTAACCTTATATTCCTTCCGTAGTTATGTAATGCACACTGAAGAACCAAACAAAGTGTGTCACAAAAACAAAATCAATGGCCGAAGATCGTCCTTATCCAAGTTGACCTGGCTTTAATTTGGCCCTTTCGTTATAACCAGCTAGGCTCGTGTGTAAGAGAAACTCTTCCAACTTTATACAACAACCGGGTCAAACAACTGCGGTATTTTTTTTCCCCTTAAGAAACATGATATGATACATATAATTGAATTAGCCAGCTGATAATGAAGTTTGAAAAACGGAGATAGGGGTATTAATTAATGGTGGCGATCGATTGGATTGTTTCAGGAAAGTGATGAATATAATTAGGACCTGGTAATTTATAATAATGAAGTGGTGTGTGTGGTAGCAACCATATAATTAATCTTGTGCCATACCTAACCCGACAGTTCGTTTTTTAATCTCTCCATGTGTTGTATCCATCTGTCACTATACACAGAAACAAAAGTAAACACAAATGAGCATTACGCCTTCTGGGTCAATCATGCACATATATGCAGCTCATAAATAATTTAGGGGGAAATTAAATTAAACCAAAGTGACATTGAAGAAACATTTGGTCCCAATGCATTGGCCAGTGGAAATTAAATCGGATTGATCAAGAATTGATAAGGCGAACATTTTAATTGAGAGACAAGTAAGAGGAGAGGTTCAATGAATAGTAGTGAAGTATTTGGAGCAGATCGAATGGAAAAAGTGGAAGAGATCAGATGGGATATGAAGATTCTTAGCGTAGCAAATAATAAAATATGGTGAACATGTTGTTGTGTTGTGTGAGGCACGTAATGTTGATGAGAAGGATCCCATTTGCCCCTCCCATATCCTGCTATAGCTGCCTCAAGTGCCCATTCATTTCTATATAACTGTTTTCTCTCTTTTTATTTCTCTATTCCCAAGTATTATATTTCTTTGATTTGTTGATCCAATGCCAGGAAACAAGACAAATACTTTTGTATATTATAATCAGAACTGGCTTGCTGGTGGAGAAAAAGTAGAGCATTCTTTCTTCATATATATATATATATATATATATTCCTTTTGTATTCATTCAGTTTTAATTATTTGAGAATTGAGATGACGAAGTATATAACAAACGTGACTCTGAAGCCTTTTGCAACTAAGCTCACACACTGCATTTATTAATTAATTAATGACTCAATTCAACTTGTAGCTCAAAAGACGTAACTTCCAATGAAAATTTTTTCCCTTTGCTTACATTTATTCTTTCGGATGATAAGCTAAACTGTACAGTTTTGTCGCCACAGAGAAACATTAGAATTCAATTAATTCCATTGGGAATAAAATTAATTTAATCAGCCACCATATACTACCGATTCAGTTACCGAAGATTTATCCTTATTATTATCGATTTAATTATAATATATTATAAAATAAGATATTTAAGTCGTCGCTGACCTAATTTTTTTGCCACCAATTTAGTTAAGCCACCGAGGAAATGAAGTAGTAGTGTTTTCTCTTTGGTCAAAAAGCAAGTAGTGTTTCATGAAATATAACAGTTCAATTAATAGAAGTATAGAACAGAATTAGTTTTTTTTTTTGGTACAAAAATTTTAGAAAAGGAGTTGGGTTCACGATCCATTTTTTTTTTGGGTACAGAATTAGTGATGGTGATTATTGAACAAAAAAGCAATACAAAGGCTAATAAGCGTGAGATTCTTAGCCCAAAAACAAAAAAAGAGCGTGAGATCAGAGAAGTGAGAAGCCGTCAACCGCTAACACAAGAAAGATTAAACGATCCGAGGGTCAAAAGTTTATCTTATGTCTGATGTGATATCATGGTATTCTTCGTCCATTTAACTATTTAAACGATGAGGACCGGTCAGTTGTCAAATAGCACTTTTTCCTCGGGAAAAAAGGTTCAAATTTAATATGGTCATGTGCATGGGGTAAGGATTTTATAAACTTTCTTATATTGTATTTTTATATTTCAATGAAATTAAAATGAGCCGTTACTTATATACTCTTCCGATCTTAAATATAAGACTCTTATATACACTAACATAAGGGTCTTATTTTTAGAACTGGAGGAGTAATTCCTATTAAATAATAGTAATAAATCTAACTTCAGATAATTATGATAAATCCGATACAGTTTTGAACTCATACAACTCTTTAATTTTTCTTTCATGAATGAAATAAAACTGAGTTTTTTATTTAAAGCGAACTAATTAATAAAAACACTAGAATCCATGGAGAGGAAGGCATTAGCAAACAAATAAAGATAGTGATCGAAGTAGCAAGTGGACTTATAGCACTTCACTTTACAACAGACACACAAAGGAGAGAGGAGCAGCTTCTTCTGAACCACTCATATCATGACCAGTAAATTAGCAAGTTGTTGGTTGCATCTAAATCTCCTCATCTCTCTCCTTCTTCTAAACTTGTTACTACCACCCTTGAAAGGAATATTTATATCTATATATATATATATACGCTTTTGCTGTCCTTATTTTTCGCTTGGCCCTCAGTCATCCAACTGCCCCTTCCTAACCATAACTTTCATATTATCCATATCTCACACAACTCAAGACAGTGACACACTTTTTTCTTTTTCTCATAATTTCGGTTTTCTTTCTCAGATTCACGTACACATATAAACTAAGATGCCGCGCCTCTTAATCATTCCAACCGCCCTCTTCTCTCCTGAAAGATGCCTTGATCAGTTACATGAGGTTCTGCAGGGCAGCAGCCAATGACCTTTAATTTCAAGCTGCTGTAGATATAATACTAGTTTAGTTAGAAGGGGAGTTGCATGATTAATTAGATCGGCCTGTCTCACTTACAATTATTAGAGGGAGAATTTGGAGTTTAAATAATGAAGGTCAAACACTTGAAAGAATATGATTATGAAAAAAATAATCGAGAAGAAGATGATTAAGGGTTTGGAAATTGAATTATGGTTGTTGGGCACTAGTGCAACAGGTGGAGTACTGAGGTTTTGGATTGCTTTGAGAGCAATGTCGAGTTGAATAAGGCCACCATATACACACACACACAACTAGCTAGTAAACCTAATACTCCACCTCACGTATATTATATATTGGGGTTCAAGACAAAGTGGTTTGTTGCAACTAAGGCTCTATTTACACTAATTAACACCAACGTATTTGTCAGTGCGCAGCAACATTTGACTTTCACAGCCTCCTAATCAATTTGGGCGTCCATATATATTATCCCTGGCTAACAGCTTCAGTCATTGATGATCTTTTAACTAAAATCTCACATCTTATATTTATATTAATATATAATACATAGGTGGCAATAAAAAAAAATGGTGTCACTCTGACGCATAAAGGTGAAATATTTAGTCTGGTATTGTGAGATTTGGACCAAGGCATCTCTTCCCCAATATTTAATTAATAAGGCCATTGCCTTGGTTTCCTATCTTGTTAAAGCACTATCTGTGATCATGATTTAGTCTTCTCTTTTTTTTTTTTTTTTTTTTTTTTTTTAAGTTTGCTCGCGAGCTGTGCTAAAGATGGGGTCATCATTTCCGACTTTGTCTTTCTTCGTCCATTTTTGGCTTTGTGTTCCTAGAGTTATATGCTTATACTACCCAAGGGTTTATCTTCTCTTTCTTTTTTTCCCCGCCTTTTTTCTTCATTTTTTTTCTTTCTCTATTTGGAAAACCTTCAACTGTGTCTATCCATAGCGGAGTTAAAATTGAAGTTTGGCCAATTGATTGGTATAGCTGATCGTGATGGTCATACTTATATAGGATATAAATTATAGACTCATTAACAGATAACAATATACATACCTGATGAGAAATTTTCAGAGATGCGAAACTGATTTTTGAAAAATGAGAGAAGTATTTAAACCTAACATATTTAGTCGAACAATCTCCTCCTTCCTCCCTTTGAATTAGTTTTGTGCTGCTAGCTCCTAAAATTTTACTACTGTTGAGGATCAATATATTTCTCTATCCCTCCGTCCCAAAAAAAAATTCTGGTTGGATTGAAGATGATGAGCATGTGTGAGTGTGAGCTACGCAAGACAAGAGCTAGTCTTTATCAGTGTGTCACGTAAAAACGCAGCAGAGATAAGACTGGAAAAAAGACTGTGTCGTGCACCACCCATTGTGGCAGAGGCAGGCATGAACCCCCAACTTTTCAAGCTTTTCCTTCAAGCCAAATAGCCCTTTTTTCCTATATAATATATATGAATAGTTTTCTTATCTTTAGTTTTCTTTGTTTTTTTGTTTTCAAAAGGCCACAGTCCGTGCATGATACACACAAAACAGAAAAGGCAAATCCACTAATAATGAATAACATATATAAAGACACAAACAGAGGTGAGGTTTTGATATGGAGCAGTAATTAATAGTAAAGAATGGTGTGGGTGCTCGTTATAGTGATGACAAGTTTTGTTGGTATGGTTACGTTGGAGAGCCACTCGTAGTTGAGTGGAATTTGCAACAAAAAACATAAACTGAAGAGTGAAGACAGAGGTGGTCACGGGTGAGCCAAAAAGGCTGCCTCTCATCTCAATGACCACGACTTATTGCCCACCCTCTACCTTACACTTAACATTTCGCTTTTACCCCTTTTTCTCTTCTATTTCTCACGCTTACCTCGTGATTAGTTTAATCCCTCCCAAACCACTTCCCACTTCCTCATCAATGGCCAACGTATATGTGAGATCGATTTCAATTTGTTCTCCTCTCTATATGATCCATCTGGGGCCATCCCTCACGAGCTTGCTGATTTCTGGGTTAAAACGGGTCATGCATGAATATTACTGACAACCTCTGCAAACGCTACAGCCTGGTTTAGTGCCTAATCCCAAGTTGCTTCGTTTTCGGCTCAACTGCTAACCAGAAAAGGACGTCTCTAGTGAAGCCAGTGGTGAATCATAACTCGTAACGGACGTTGCACAAATATGCTTTAACTACACTTTCCACCCACTTTTCTTTTCCTGCTGACTTGCCTGCATATGATAGAAGAATAATCGGCATTATATAACAGAGAGATCTATTTTGTTTTCTCTAATTAAATTAAAGTTATTGTAACCGTCGAGTACTCCTTTCTTTTTATTGTTACTTGCACCAACTAAATTTTGGACTTTTATTAAGTGCCCTGATAATTCCACAATAAACATATGGCAATAAAATAAACTGTCCCGGCCACTGGTACCTTGACACTTGACACCATCATCCACCGGACAAATTAAAGCCAGCTCTCTTCTCTCTTTTTTCTTTTTAAAAAAGATTTTTAAAACACTTTTTTGGGTCATAGCAAGTGATCAAATTGCACGGACCTATCCAACTGAGGCCCATTCATAGACAGAGAGCCAGCCCACTAAGTATTGCACATTATTTTAAAAATGCCAAAAAGGAAAAAAATGTTAAAGCAGTCAAATCAGGAATACAGAGCCATGTTTCCCAAATGCTCGCAGTGTTTAGGCAGTTTCTGGGTTCAAACTCGCCGTTGCTCCATCATACCAAAAGAGGGGCATAAACTACGAACTATGACACCATCGTTTATGCTAAAAATGCTACATAGTCGCAGCCAGGACATAAAGCCATGTAAAATGTTGATATAATAAGGATTTAAACGTCAGATTCATTCAAAGGCAGCCAAAAAGGAGTACATGAGAAGTCAATTTTATTGTGGAGGACGCACATAAAGGATTATAACAATCTGACCAAACACCAATGCATGTTTAGTTATTCAATTTCACACCCAGCTTCATAAGCACATATCATGTCCCACATAGTCTCCAATACATGCACGTGAGGCTATAGTAAGCAAACAAAGGATAAAATGCCACGGCTGCTTCTAGCACCATTTTGCATTCAAATTAAACTGGAGTCAAACCCACCACGCCTGCAAACAAGCACACGTATATTGTTAGATCAATTCATAGTTCATATCATATAACGATAGCAATTATTAGTGGGGGCGACTCAACGAAATGTAAGAGTGTACCCATTGAATGACAAAAAGAACTGAGTATTCAAGCTTCTCAGGCATCATGCCAAAATTATGAACCCAAAAAAGAAAGGAAAAAGGAATTATATGCCCAAAGGAAAGAAAAGAAAAGAAAAGAAAAAACATTAGTCCATATCCAAGCTTGCTAGCTTCTGAATCATGTTAGCGCTTATTTTGCAAGTCATTGTCTGAGGAAATTGTTTTAGTTTAACATCACGATTCAGATTACAATAACTAAACCACAAACGCAGAAAATGACAAGGCTTCTATTTGAACAGACTAATTGAAGAATTTGAAAAATGACGAAACAGTATGAATTCTATCTTACCACATGCCAATCTTCCGCCAGCATTTCCAGTGGTCAAACTAAGTTCATGTCCACCTACAAAAGTAAAAGTAAATATAGATGACTAATCAAGTGCCTCATAAACAGGGGTATAGAATCTTCGTTCCTCCTTTTTGTATTTGTATGTTTTAACAACAGCTTTTTATTCCAAAAAAGGCTTCAGTTGTGATTAACTCAATACACCCAGTACAAGAGTGAAGTGCAGATTTGAGCACAAGCAATAATACTCGTCCTTTCAACTTGCTAGAACAGTAGCATAAATTTATTTATTCTAAAAGTTTATGAGTTATGATAGCACCCCTTGATCAATATATTCATTGCCCGTTAATCTACTTATTTCTGTAATGTTGAGACAGTATGAGCTGGAGCTGCCAACAATAATTTTCTCCGCAGAAGGATTTGTAAGCCAAAAAAGAAAAAAGAAAGAAGAAGAGGAAAACTAACCTTTCCCGAGGTCATCCTCAAGCTCATGAACCACAAGGGCTCTTCCAACAACTGAATTGGGGCCAATAAGTGGTATCTGTATGTTTCAGGTACATAATTAGCCACAACCAAGGAGAACTACAGTAGAATGATGTGGAACTCAAGCACACAGATTAAGACCAACGGCTGTAGAACATTTAAGAAGATATATATTAAAATAGAAAGAGCACCTGATTATCTGTGATTGTTGCCTCTGCAATTCCTGTAATGCAAAGAGATAAAATGGTGCATATACAGGTTAGTAACAATTCAAAATAGAAGGAGAAAGAAAAGAAGATAAAATTGTATCTACCGTCAGCATTAGCAACTATGTTTCCCAGGTCACCCGCATGACGGACTTCATCCTCAGGAGCGCCATGTGTCTTGTTATTAGGATTAAAATGTGCTCCTATATGTGTCATCAGAGAAGCAAAAATTATGACTTCATCAGTAAAACAATTAAAAAGAAAAGAAAACTGCGTGCTTAACCAAAAAAAAAAGGCTTACCGGTTGACATACATCCATTTGTGGTATCACCATACTCATGCTGCAAGAGAAACAAGTAGCACAGTTTAGGAGGGTATTCTGGACAGGGCTAAATTTGCAAAATCAGAAAAGACTCACTAGATGAAAACCATGAGGTCCTGGAGTAAGGCCAGTAACTCGAACATTAACTGTTGTTGGGCCTACACAGTACACATCACACAGGAATTTAACAAGTTAAGAAATTCTGCTCCATTTAGGAGCTGTCGGCTTCAGATGGAAACAATAGTGAAGTATTGGAACATATCAATACTAAAATTTAGCCAGCAGCACAAAAACTAATCTACATAATCTTGTGTAGAAATATTTCACTTGGCAGATTTCACAATCTTCATTTGTAACATCAAACGAACCCAAAGAAGAGGATTACTTTACTCTCGTGTTTTACGATACCAAGCCGTAAGCTTCAGAATGGAATGTATGTAAAGGAATTGCCACTAAATCAATATAGTGCTTAGTTCCAGTCGTTTCTTATTTCTTTTTGGCTACATTTACCTCATTCTATCCTCCATTGTACCGATTTGTACAGTATGGTAACATACTTTCTAGTTTTTCTATGTTTAAAAAGAATTGTCTTGCCAAGATCTTCCAAAAATAACCGAGGAGTTACCAAGAGCATTTCTGGTATTACTGATTAGGGAATAACCAAAAAAAGCAAATTAAAAAAAAAAAAAAAAAAAACTGGTTCGAATGGAGCTAGGATTAGCAAGTGGCAATGGAAGGGAAACTCAGGAGAGAAGAGAACCAACCATCGTCTTCTTGGGTCAACGTGACGACACCTTCGACAGCGGAATTGCCTTTGAGGACAGCCACGGCTTTCTTGGAGGCAGCGGCGACGAAAAGAGGCTTAGAGGGGGCCGTGGCAAGGGCAAGGGAGAGAGGAGATGGTTTGAGCTTGAGGGAGACGCCATGGAAGGAAGACTGAAGAGGTGGGTTATGACTTTCGAACAGAGAAAGTTGAGTCAGAAGGGGTGAAGACGACAGAACAGTGAGGGCCGCCATAGCAGGCAATGCAGCTTGCATTAGGCGAGAGCCCGCGAGCGTGAAAACGCAAAGAGATAATGTAGCGGCAGTCTCAAGTCTGAGTGGTGGCTATATATGAGATTCCGATAATGATCGACCTGCGGAAGCTCGAGGCCTCCCTATTTGTCTTGGTCAGATTTTCTAGGATATCTCTCAACTTTCCTATATTTCATTTATGGCCAAAGGGGGTTTGACTTCTCATTTTTATCTGGGGTGTTTGAATACCTTAAAAAATACTTATTCGTAGGATTTTTCGGCAAATCGAGATAAACTCATTCATATATTTACTTTGTAGATCATAAAATCACTTCTAAAATCATGATTTGATTTCTATCTAAACACCCCCTTAATCTTCTACCCCATGTTCCTCGTATTTGAGAAGTAGTCTCTTTTAAACTCATCTCAGTTTTCTATTCACTCATCCTACGAAAGAGTAATAAATAAAAGAGACTGATGAAATCAAATATCAAATACTCAGTGAAGAACCAAAAACAAATACTACTTTCTTAAAATCAAATATAGATCAATTTTTTTTTTCAAAACATTTGAAATAAGAATACTTTTATCTTTACGTGTTAAATTTTAATCATTACATGATGAGGTGTTTTGAAAAAACACACAAACTTTTAAAAATTATGTAAGTATTGTTGGTATAGTACAGTCTTAGATGAGAAAACTTATGAGCAAATTACTATTACAAGTGATGGCATTAATTTGGATTAAAAATATAAAAAAATTAACAGTTGCACCTATCTAAAAGCTTAGATTTGATGATGATTAAAAAAGTTTACAACGATAGTATGAGATATGTGTTCGAATTTTAGAAGCTTATATTCAGGAGGATTGGAGGTGCAGATCTTAAATTAGCCATTGATTGGGGGCTAAAAAGGAAAGAAAAAAATTCGTCGCTTGTCAACCATTGGACAGGCGACATGATACGGCTTCAGTCTGAGATAAATGCCTTTTTTTTTTTTTTGGTCGGAAGACATAAGTTCTTTTTATTAATCAATAAAATATATAAAACATTTATGATGTTATTATTTGTTTTATTATTATGATGTTATTGACGGTAAAAAATTTTTTTTTTTCTGTTCAATTTAAAAATATAAAAATATTGATGACAAAAAAATAATGTAAAAATGTTTTATATCTGGAAATTACTATTTATTTGAATTCATTTGGCATAACAAACAAATTCATATTTTATGCAAAGATTCACATGATTTTACATTAGAAAATTTTAATTTGAAATCAGCGTAAAAGTAATCTTTTATAAAAGTTTATAACTGAATGTATTTTACTTATAAATGATCTAACGATTTTGTTCGATGACATTCCTTTTTCAGTTTAATATTTTAAAAATAAAAAAGTTTAATTTGCTAATGAAAACAGTTATTCATTTTAAGTTAATAACAAAATACTTTCCTCCACGGAAAAATCTAAATCTTTCCCCTGAATCAAAAATATTATTTTTAAAACAACTGTAAATTTAACACATAATCAATAAAAAAATTGTATTGCTGGTCAACCATTTTATTCCAATAGCAGTGAGTTATTTATAATTTCAAATAATTAAACTAAAAAACATTTTTTAACAATAAAAAATTGTTTTACGGTTATTTTTAGTTATGTATCGAGCTGCAAGGTCAATTATTTACTCAATTCATATGATCCATGTTTAGTGGCGCTGAAAACTATTCTTTGGAGGGCAGTCTACTGTGTTGAGTTTTGGTGTTCCAGACCCGACACGAACTGAAAGTCTACATCTTTAGCCAGTCGCGTCCTCTCCTCTGAGTTCATGGACGCGCCAAAACCCTCCCAAGTTCGAGTTCTCGTACGCCCGCCTCCTTCTCCCAATCTTCCCATCACTTCATCTTCTTCTTCTCTACCTCCTCCTCCTCCTCCTCCACTCCCCACTCCCATTCCCTCCTCAGATCATTCTTCCTCTTCCTCCTCTGCAACACCTTCGTCCTCCTCCTCCTCTGCCTCCCCATCACTGCCTCGCTCCTCGGATGGTGTGGTGGTTGTTGGCTTCATTTCCCGAAGACCCGACGATTCCACGCAGCTTATTAACCGTGTTATCGACTTCAATGTGTTCGGCTCGGGCAATCTTGATAAACGACTATTCGTCGACGAAGAGGAAGCCAGAGACTGGTTTAAGTGGAGGAGAATTAGTTATTACCACGATGAAGAAAAGGGGATATTATATTTGCAGTTTTGTTCCACTGGCTGCCCGGCCATTGACGGATTTTCTGAGCCGTCACCCGGATTTGATTCCGTTGTGGAAGAGCACGAGTTTGGAGACCTTCAGGGAATGCTTTTTATGTTCTCTGTAAGTGAATTTTACATGGCATGCTATGGGCTTTATTAGTCTGATTTTATCTCGGCATCTTATGGATGTATTGAAGTATCAGGAGCCCCGTCTTCGACTTTTGATAGAGTTACTTAAGGGCATGATAAGTAAAGTTTGAGTCTTGATTGAAGTTGTCACCTTAAGGAACTGACAAGGATAAGATATCAACGACTTTTGAAGTTGGTGTTGATCTGAAGTGTGATTAAATGAAGAAGTTCATATGCATAGAAAATTATGATGTCGTCTTTTCCTATTACTTAATAATTGGCAGTTTTCTAGCGGTCAGTCGTAAGTGGTATAAAGAGAGAGAAGCTCTAGAGTCAAGGGAGTCAAGTGGGCTTTTAATGAAATTTGATATCGAAAGATCTGCGGAGTCACTCCCTTCCATGTGATAAAGGATAAGTTGAATCCCGTAAGATTGAATTTCGACACATAATTGACCCTCGGCATTTCAGTGTGTTGGTTCTATCCACAGCTAGATCAAAGAGCAGTTCTTTCATTGACCGGCATGTATGTGCATGAGCAATGATATGCTTCTGTTTATCCATAATCTATAATCAAAATTACGTTTAGAATCATGACAATTAAAATTTTGTGCCCGTCATGGCTTGCAATGCTTAGTATGAAGAGGGATGAACTTTACAGTTGAATATACAGTATCACTAGAAAATACTCGGCAAAAGAAAGTTGAGGTAGGGTGGTTTCAGACTTTCGGTTATTTTAATTATATGCAGTTTGAATATGAAAAACTGCTGGGGTACAAGGAGTAAGAAATCTCAAGTGGAAAACTCATGGAGAAATTAAGACCAGAAATAAATTGGGGATAAGCGCATAAATGATTATGCTTACAGTGAATCATCTCAACATAATCCACTTTAAGAATTATTGGATTTGACTAATATCTTCTCATTACATAATCCACTTTTAGAATTATTGGCTTTGACTAATATCTTCTGATTCAATTTCAACGCTTGCTTAATGTGTAATCTTGCTTATTCCTTATATTGTCTGCCAGCTTGGTTGTTAAGAGGAAGTAGTGCATTTTAATATTAGAAGATCAGTTAAAGAAAGAAGACATGAATGTCCCATTTGGAGCGATGGGATAGAAATTCTTTTCTTAGTGTTTGAGGTTCTGAATATATAGCACAGTGCATGTTAAGTGCTCTTTCAACGAGAAATTTGTGCATATTAGGTGTAATTGACAACATGGAAATGCAGGTTTGCCATGTTATTATACATATTCAGGAGGGATCACACTTTGGTACTGAGATCTTGAGTAACTTTCGTGTGCTACAAGCAGCCAAGCATGCTATGGCTCCATTTGTAAGATCCCAGACTACAACAAACACGCCATCTAGATCATATTCTTCATCATCTTCACGACCCATCTCTTCAGTAAACAATACTTCTCCAGGTAGAGGCGGTGCTTTCTCAAGCCGCAATGCCTCAGCCATTTCTCTCATGTCTGGTCTAGGTTCTTATACTTCTTTGTTTCCAGGACAATGCATACCTGTCACATTGTTCGTTTTCATTGATGAATTCTCCAATTTACCAAATTCCAACAGTAATGGGGAGGACTCTTCAGATTCCTCCTCACTTAATCACTCTGCTAATTTGAGTGGTGTAGCCAAGACTAACTTGCCTGCTAAGGGTTCTGGTTCAGTAGTTATGCTGGCACGCCCTGCAAGTCGATCTGAAGGTGGCTTCAAGAGAAAACTACAGTCCTCCCTTGAAGCTCAAATTCGATTTCTAATTAAGAAATGCCGCACACTCTCAGGTTCTGAATCAAGTTACTCTGGCATGAGAACCGGAGGCAGTTCAACTTCTGCTCCTTTATTTTCACTTGATGCATCAAAGGCAGTTGTTTTGTTAGATCAATTTTCAAATCGAAGAGGTGAATCTCTTGAGTTTGCCACTGGGCTTGTAGAAGATGTCTTGAATGGGAAAACAAACTCTGATTCCCTTCTGCTGGAAAGCCATAGTCAAAGTGCTAGCAAAGAGGATATTATATCTGTGAAAGATTTCATTTACAGGCAGTCTGATATTTTAAGAGGGAGAGGAGGTCTAGTTAACGCCAATAGTGGCTCAGCTGCTGGTGTTGGTATGGTAGCTGTTGCAGCAGCTGCAGCTGCTGCCTCTGCTGCATCAGGGAAAACATTTAATACTCCTGATCTTCCAAATTTTGAAGGCTGGCGATCTTCCAGTCATCATATGTTGAGTAGAATTCTCTGTGCAAAAGGCAGTTGCTTGGATGAATTTGAAACTATCAAAAGAAGACCCCGTCCAAGGAACACAGTTTTACCCGCAGCTGATGGGTCTCCAAAGGTTACAGATCCTCTTGATGTTGCAGCATCTTGGTTGCATAGTGGTAAAGGGCTCATTACAAAGTTTTCTACTTCATGGTGCCAAAGAGCAATACCAGCTGCCAAGGAGATTTATTTGAAAGATTTGCCCGATTGTTATCCTACTTCACAACATGAAACCCATTTGAATAATGCTTTGAATGCATTCTGCTCAATGGTCAAAGGACCTGCTGTGCAACTTTTCGCAAAAAAGTTAGAACAGGAATGCACTTTAATATGGGAATCTGGGAGGCAATTATGTGATGCTGTTAGCTTAACAGGCAAACCATGCATGCACCAACGGCATGATGTGGAGACTGTTAGTTCAGATTTAGGTGATTCATTGAAGGCGCATTCCAGTGGATATTTTTTCCTTCATGCCTGTGCTTGTGGCCGATCACGACAATTACGTCCTGATCCATTTGACTTTGAATCAGCTGATGCTAGTTGTTTCTCTGACTGTGATAAGCTCCTTCCTACACTCAGACTTCCAGAAATCAAAGTCATAGAGCCTATCAAGTCGTCCTCTTGGTGTTTGCTTCGGATTGGGGATGCAAGATACTATGAACCTTCTAAAGGCATACTTCAAAGTGGATTCTGTGACACCCAAAAATTTCTTCTCAGGTGGACTATATATCTAGAGAAGCAGAAAGTGCCAAATGGTTCAACAGAGAGTATAGTTAAGCAAGGTTCTTCAATTAAGCCACCAATGGTTGAATTTATTCCAGATGCAAAGAAAGCTGGCGTTATGCAGTCTGACCCTGCTGTACAGAATGAAGTGGATGGCCAAAGAACATCTTTAGATAAATCTGATGATAAAAATATAAGCTTTGGTAGAGGTCTTCCCAATTTCAAAATGAGAAAACCTTTTTCTGAGGTCGTTGCTGGATCAGCTGCTGGTGATTCAGGATTCCCCCCTCTTCAGCAGCGGAGATTGCCAACGTCAGGTTCTGATAAGGGTATGAAGCAAAATAGGACAAGTAGTCAGAGTTTGGGACATGTCAATGCAGTTGCTGATCATCAGGTGTCTCAAAAATCTTTAGATATATCCTTTGTTCGGCCACCACTTAATAGCAATAATGATAATAATTGCAGAGAAGCTGACCCTTTTTTGCAGATAGGTAGCAATGTAGTGCCTGTATACCTGGATGATAGTGAAAGAATAAAGTCTCATTCTTTTGTGAAGCACGTAATAGTATATGTTGGGTTTGAGCATGAATGCCCCCATGGCCATCGTTTCCTGTTAAATACAGAACATCTTGCTGAACTTGGATCTTCATACTCATTGTCTGAAGAATCTCATGTAACTTCTGTTGAACCTGGACATAGCAATCTGACAGATCATAGTAAAGTAAATAAGAATACTCGCTGGGGTAAGGTTCGCCGAAGCTCTGTGTCAGCAAATAAGGAAAGAGATGTGGACAAATCAAGTGAAATTATTGTCAATGGTGATTCAAATTCAGATGGAGTGATATATGCTTACCATCCACAGAAGGAACAAAATTTGACATCTGTTAATATATTGACCAAACCTTCTGATCTTCCAAAAGATCTTGGAGAAGATCTTGAAGCTATTAGCATGAATGATAGTGATCTTGCATTCTCCATGTTGAACCGAAATTTGCCTGTCTACATGTTCTGTCCTCATTGCAGGCTCTCAAGGCACAAGAAGGATCCACCAAAAGTTAAGTTTGCCAGCACAATCTCACAGCTTAAAAGGATTTTTCTGGTATGAGTTGCTGCTCTCATAAACATTTTCTTTAAGTTTCAATTAACATTATTGAGTACTATAATGCAAATCTGCTGGAAAATTTACTAGTCTCTGAGTTCTTGTTTTACTCATTCAGTTGTCTAGTTTTTATAAATCTACAGAACATGCAAATTTACTCATGTAGATAGCATATTACATTTTTAATTTGACACTTGAACGTGTTCACTCATATTGTAATGTAATTGACAATTAGATATAACAATATAACATTTTTGTGCCATTGAGATTCGTTGTTTTCATTTTATTATCGGATCAGCTACCTGATCTATTGATATTGCTGTAGGTGACACCTTCATTTCCTGTGACATTAGCAACATGTCCCATTGTACAATTTGAGGCAAGTCCTGCTATTTTAATGTACATTTTCTTGAAGGTTGTATGATTACATGAAACTGTCCATTGTGAAGCTGATCGCCTATGAGGTTGGGCAATAAAACCCCTTTTACATTGTCCTTTCCATATGAACCTTTTGTAGTGTCCTCAGTTTTACATTGTGCACCATCACAACTATAACATGTGTAATATCAAAAACAGATGAGTTTTGAACCAAAAAACATCAAAATTTTCGGTGAATTGGGCCCTGTATATCCACTTAAGAGAGACCATTTGGGCAGGCTCTGGCAAGAAGGGACACTTCTGCAATACTTTTAAAGTGATTGTATTTTTTTTTTTTTTAACTCTGTCCACTATTTGTATTTTGTCCTTGTAGACATCACACTTGCCTCCATCAGTCCCAGATCGTGAACAAAAATTGCAGTTCAGCCTTGGATGTCAAGTGGTTTTACCACCACAGAGTTTCCTTACTCTTAAACTACCATTTGTATATGGTGTGCAGCTGGAGGATGGAAGAAAGCATCCTCTCAACCCCTTTGAACAACAGCCGGAAATGACTGCCTGGATTACCAAGGGTTCAATACTGCAGATCTTGTCCAAGGGGATCAATGATGAGGGGCATCAAAAACACTAGAATATTATTTAATTTTAAAGTGGCTTTGCAAGAGTGAATCGGGCAAGTATGCCAACAACTTCTCCAGACTCAGGTGAGGTTTGGTCGCTTATATATGTACCTACAGTAGTCATCTTCGCAGTCAAAATTTTGTTCAGTCTTTTAAATGCAGGAGCATGTCGTTCACATATTTTAAATCTTTGGTAATCTGTCAGAAACTTGTTTGGTCTTCTGTAAAAGAATGTTAAGAAATTCTTTATGCTAACGCATTGTTTTGACACAGACAGAGACAAAGGCATGGATTATGCTATGTTAATTTTGCTGGAAAATTGACCTGTTAATGTAAACTAGATTCTGCGTCAGACTGCTTTTATCTCTGAAGAATACGAGATGTGTGCTAATGGTACAAAGTTATATGTGGAATAACTTATTTTTCTTTCCCCTTGAAATGATCAGTCGTGATCCTTCAAACCTGCCTCACTTTTTTAACGCTGTCAGATTTTTGTTCCTGCCAAACTTATTCCATTTTTTTTTCTACTTCAATCCAGAAGAGACTAGGGATGACAGTCAAAATCCTAATATTTTATTTTGGTTGATTTTTTTTTCATTAACTTGTTTGAATCCTTAATCTTTAATGCATGCTTATAACTAGTGTGGCTGAAGAAAGTGATCAATCATCAATTGACCGTTTGCTAAGGAAATCATTATTTTAGTCTCTTCGATGTGCAAAGATGCTTTAATCTGGAGAAAAGGATTTGATATAGTAGTTAGAGTGAATTGTATATGATTCTTATACGGTGCCCTTGTGGAAGGTTACACTTGAGTCCTTGTTGTAAGAGGAAATGAAAAATGGTAGGTTTAAGATGAGTGTAAGTTCAATGGGTTTGGACTTCAGAAAATCAGGCTTCCAGTTATAAACCATGAAGGATTATACGAAGCCTTGTTAAAGTTCCTGGGTTCTCTTGTTGGAGGTCTTCCACTTCCCTGTTTTTGGATGCTCCGTTTTAGCTAAGGGAATTGGTCCTCGTAGAAAATAAATGCTTGAATATTGAAGCAAAGAGGTGGCGAATGTCTCAGCAAAGACTCAGTCATTACTAATGCAGAGTGACTTGAAACATGAAATTTCACTTAATTACTATTGTTTACACATTGGATGCTCTTTCTCATGTTATTTTAACAAGAACTGTTTCTAATGAGGTTGCTTTCTCTCAATTAAAGGGGGGCGCACGCACGCTCATTAATGAGGACGTGTGAGCAGGACGAGGAACTTTGTGGATGGTGATTGTGGTCCGTCATGGAAGAGCTGTAAATGGAAAAACTGGGACTCAAGGAGTGCATCTTCATTCAATGGTTAAGTTTAACAGGCTTGGACAGCTTTTTAACAAGGTATTTGGATTCTTTGTGCTGACTAACTTGCCCTTATTCTGATGCTATTTTGGACTTTTTGGTTTCCAATAGACTTTGTGGGTGATTTTTTTAGCATGGTCCTCTGCTTTTTGATATATTGAAACATGGATATATGCATGTGATTGGATTAGCTTATTTTAAGTGATTTTGTACTGTACAAAATAAGTATGGGAGAGGAATTATGTCTTTGTTCCTCTATTTTTGTATGTGTTGACACATGTATATATGCATATTGTAATGAGTCTCATATCGAGGAGCCTCACAAGATTAATTAGTTCAATAGACTCTCTCATCTACTAGGGTAGTTTTTGTGTGAAAGTACCCGATGACTCGGAAAGGGATACCCCCAGAAAATCTGACTGGCAGGTTGCCAGGTAAAATACCATGGTGTGAAGCCATTATGAAAGTTGGCACCCCCATTTCCTCACAGGCTACTCTTTTAGGATTATGCTCTCTATTTGTACTTGTAACCCATGTTCAAGTAGTGCTGTCTGGATTGATTTGGAAGATAATGTCAAATATATTTAAGGACCATAAATGGTGCAAAAGGAAATGGTCATATTTCTTAACTGAATAGCCAGCAGTTCCCAGATGGGATGACTGCGAAATAACCACATTGACATGATTCAGCATGTGCCTATGATGATTAGCTCGGCTCAACCTGAAGAGAACGGCCGTTTTATTTATCTCCCAGTGATGTCTGCTGCGCTGCTTATAACTATGTTCCGGTGATTGCCATTACGGGTGTGTTTGGATGAAACCAAACTATGGTTTGGAGAATAGCTTCTGGAGAATAGATTCTGAAAAAAATAGATTTTGTAAAGAATAGATTTTGTGAAAAAGTGATTCTGATAAATTAGAGTGTTTGGATAGTTGTTATCAAAAGAACTTTTTATATGTACAAATTTTACTAAAATATGTATAAGTTAATATGATAATTACATAAAAGATAGATTTTATAATATATTTTAATTTAAAAAAATAAATTTGTTAATAATATATTTTTTTACCAACATAATTAATAATATATAAAATAATATAATTAATATGTATATATATTTATAAAATATAAGATTAAATATGTTTATAAAAAAATAATTGAGGAATGTTAAAATCATATTATCGTTGAGATCTACTCTACAGGTACAATCATACTATCCCATTTGAGCCAGAAGCAGAATGAATTCACTTCTTCTGAAACCATGGTTTTGAGTTCCAAATCATGATTTTGATCCAAAACCATGGTTTCTATTTTTTCCTAGGTGTTTGGCAAGTCTGAGACATAAACCATGGTTTGGGTCCCAAAACCATGGTTTTCTATCTTATCCAAACAGGCCCTAAATATGTGTGTTTCTTGCAGGAAAAGGCCCTTCGTGATCAGTGGATGGACGGCTTTTTCAAGTTTGAAGATGTCAGGAACCTGGACCATCACTGGTGTGTTTGACGTATGCAAGAATCTTGAGAAAAATAGACCGCTTGTTTTCCTTGAGAAGCTTTGCCATGGCAAACCGGCGAGCACAATCTTTGATGACCTTCTTTCTTCCCCGCAAAAACTGTTATCATATCTGGTTTCTCACATGATGTAGCTTGCGCGCACAAACACAGATTTCAATGCGATCTTCTCAATTCTTCTCCAGCCAATTTCTTCTCTGCCTTTTCCAGTGATTCCAACTTATCAGGTGCAACTTGGAAGATTATGGTTGACTTGTAAAAATCTGTTCCCACTCACGATTTCCGACATTTATTTTTTTCCCCCCAATTCAAGATTCTTTTTTTTTTTGGTTTTATTTTCGCTTTATAATTCTTTTGGGTTTTTTTAAGCAATTTGACCAAAACAAGGCATGGTTTCGACATATGTATTAACCTATGCAAAAGATCTCGGACCATGGCTGCATATTTTCAGAAAAACAGTGAAATTCTGAGAAAAACTAGATAGGTGTATTCGAAAGTTACACATTTTCATGCAATAAATTAAAAAAAAGCAATTTCCAGAAAAACCAAATTGGCATGTTCCTCAAAAAATAGATAGGTGTGTTCAAAAAAATTAAAAACTTAATATGGTTACACGTTTTCTGAAAAAAATTCGGAAAAAAATAGATGTCTTAAAAGTTAGATTTTTCACCCACAAACTAGATCAAGTTTAATACGTATAAATATAGAAAATATTTTTAAAAAAATTATCATCAATTAGATTGGGCAATTTTCGAAATTAACCAAACAGTACTGGACATCAAATAAGTATATGAAAAAAAAATTTGCCTCTAAGCTTTTATGATTTTTAATTCAAATATTTAATAATTAAAAATATTAAATTTTATTTTTTAAAAAGATGTAAAGACTTGCTAACAATTTTGTAAAATTATTATCAAAATACTCAGTTTTAATTTTTCTTAACTTGATAACAATTTTTGTGACTCGACAGTAAATGCTCCACTTCTTTGTGGCGAACTTTGCTGCTGGAATTCAGAACTTCCTTGCATCATAGAGATCGTTGGTGATCAGATATCTTGCATTTGCTATATACTACTAATAAGTAAGTTGTATAATTATAAACAAAATTATTATTAATTTTATAGAAGATAAATTTGTAAGATTCAATTTATATTATTGAAGCCACAAATTTAATAACATGATTTTAATTAAAATTTCACACCCACGAATTGGAAAAGGATAGGAAAATTCTCTGATACTGAATAAAATCAAGAAAAATATTACAGATCTTTCCAAATTTATTACATAACAGGCGGCATATTAGACTTGCTTGGCACAAAATGAAAATAGGAAAAATCAAAGCATGGGAATTGGAAGCTCTCTGGTAAATGCGAGGAGCTTTCCTTTTATGCATAACAAAATTATTTTGTTGTCTATCAGGTGTATAGTGCCCCAGTGACTTTCCTTTCTTTAAATCTATTTTTCTTGTACCAAACACAGCCTGAGGAGAAAATGGGCAAGGAAGGAGAGATTATGAGGATCATAGACGAAAATGCCTTCTGGACATTTGCTCCGATCCAGGACGATCTGCTCTGTGGGATGGAGTGATAACAGACGATGTTTGTTCTCCTGGTCAACAACTCAGAATGGTTCTTTTGAAGGACAAGAGAGTTAAATTCTCGAAGGTGTTTCATGTCATGTTTTTTCAATAGAGTTAGGGACATAACATAGAGGGAAGACTTTCTTTTGATTGTTATGCGGTGCTACGCAGTGAGGATTGTTCATTTGTCATGTTTTGATGGAGAGAAGCCCGTGAGAGAGTCAGATGTCGCAGGGTGAATAAATCAAGCATGGAAAGTTGTAATAAATTCGAAGCCTTGGTTAAGAAGAGCACCTGCCACCCACAGCTTCAGATTTTGCTGGTTAATTTCTGGCTCGCAACCTTTCACCTGTTTTAAACATATCAATCATCACTAAATCCGCAAGCGAAGAGCGAGACTCATTCAGAATGAGAAGATATCAGTAAATAATTAACAATGAGAGGAAAGCTTACATTCAATGTAAATGTTAATAGAAACCTGTCAGAAACTGTGGCCAAGTTTGAATTCTGAACATTGAAGCCTGCTAGGGACTCGAGAGCCCTGTAGAGGGAGGCAGCCACTCCTTCTCCTTTATTACACACCAATTTCACGTAATACCCTCTCTCCTCCACTTGAAACATGTCCATCTGTACAACAACATGACCAAAACGTTACAACTTAAATCTGAAGAGCCCTAAGTAACAGCATCTTATCAAGTTTTAATGAAGCAAACCTGCATGATCTTCATGCAGATCGGATAGTGGATGTGGTTGTTTTGACTCGTGGGGATTTTAGCTGATCTTTGGTCGTTTTCCGACGCTAGCATAGATGCTTCAAGGCCTTTAACCTCAGCCTTCAGCTTCTTAGCTTTCTCTTGCAGCTCCTGCACATATGCCACAGCATCGCCCACGATGGAGGCCTTATCCATCTGCAAATATTTGTACCAGTTAACGTTTAGCATTTACCTTCACCGACATAAACTAGATGCTCTTTAGACTACACAGATTCATGTAAATTCTAAAATGTAGATAATGTTGTTAGAAACAATAGAAGAAACGTCACACAGCCATAGAACAGAAGTTGATGGCCTCGAATATTTAGCTGTTACAATATTTTTACATTACCCTAGATGACTCACAGCCCATCATCAGGCCCTTGTTTTAATTAAGGAACTATTTTATGACTTCATTTGATTTGTTTAATCTTATTGCTGTTACTCTTTTTTGTAGTTTTTAGAATATTATAATTTCTGGTTCGCGAAAGATGCATGTAAGATATTCCATAATCCTACCTTCCTTCCATCCGGGAGAATTTTCAACTTGCTATTTGTTAAATCTCAAGAATCGAATCGTCCATCGTCGTAGAAGAATAAGACTAGGACCACATAGCCAAAGCTTAGACCTTTAACCACAAAAGAGTATATTTGCTCTAGATCTAGTTTGTGACGGCGAAACATACCTTACTTATGTTGGGAACCAAAGAACGCAATGCGTAAAGCTTCTCCTTCATTCGGCCTCTCCTCCTCCTTTCAGAGATCAGTGTCTTGGATCGATCAGTTTTGGACTTCTGTTTGGCATTAGCAGACGTGGTAGTTTCAGTGGTGGTGGTTGTTGTTGCAGAAGAATCATTCTCCTCTTCTCCTCTTCCTCCCTTCACTTCTCCATCAAAACATGAGAAGGAACTAAGCGTAGAGCTTGGATCATAAGCATTTAAAGCAGCATTAGACTCAAACAGGTTTGCAGGGAATGGAGGAAACTGGTTATCAGCCAAGTAGCCATTGATATGGTCAGAATCAAAGTTACAGAACGAGTGTTCATTCTCCCCGCGGAGCAAATTGATAAACTGATCGACATTGGTGTCGTCGATGAAGTCATGAAGCTGGAAGTCGTTAATGTGCATCAGAGGATCTTGGTGAGCATCCATTTTGAGCACGGTGGGATCATGAGAGGTCTAGTTCAATTATATACGAGATACAAATCATTAATATAATTTTGGTGTGAATGGAATATCTTCCCCCCCCCCCCCAGGTTCCTTCATGCCCGAGTTGTTAACTAGCTAAACATAGATTATTTTATTTCTTCTGGTTAACTAAATGATGAAAGTATGTTCCCTTTCAAATCTATCAACGCACACACAGACACATCTAATCTAATTGTATATATAGTTCTTCTATTGGAGAATACGATAGAAGATTCTTCATGTCTCATTCAGTCATGAATCTCATGTATTGCTTAAAAATATAGTTGAGAACCAGGGTTTTCACAGATCATTGCCGTATTTGGCATTTATTTAATCAGTTAAACTCGATGTGAACAACTTAAAGATTCGCGGACACATCAAACGATGTTGACATCTGATGTTTTATAAAAGTAAGCGCGTTACTGGAGTAGTAATAACAATATTCTAATTAGGAATCCAGCATCTCTGTCGCCGCAGTCGAATTTAAACCTAGAAATTTGAGAGTACCTAGAGGTGCGTGTTGTACATTTAGTCATGGACACAGTTATTTACTTTGCATAGTGTGCGCGGCGGGGAGTAGAAATTAGTAGAAGTTTTTACGTATTAGTTAGTGAAGTGTCAAATCATCAAATATACATAATAATAAAGAAGCAAAGCGATGAACAACAATAAGTAGTTGAGCTGCAGCAATAAGTAAAGGGAGGCGTCATTGCCCAGTACGTGGGAGATACGGTGGTCTTTTTCTGATGAACAGGACCTGGGGATAAAATAATGAGCACTGTGCCCATAGATTGGTGTGTATAAATGCTAATATAGTAATATTATGGTGTGAATGGAATCAAAGGGGGAACATGATGACGCTGGTGGTGAGGATAAATTACAAACTGAAGGGGCTGGAACTCGGAATATAAAAATTAGAGGGTGAATCACCAACATAAAATAATGGAGGGAATATAGGCATCAATCTGCCAGGAGCTTCCTGAGAAGATGTGCAAATAAGTTATTGGAGTAATAAGCTTGAGCAGCGTACTGCAATAGTGCAATGATGCATGCAGGAACCCTGTTTTGGGATTCATTGACTTGGTTTCGTTTATATGTTTTTGTGCTGCATGAAGAGAGAATGAAGAAGGAGATGAGAGGAAGGAGGTGGGGGTCAGCGCAGATGAGAAGTGGAGTTAAATATGCTAAAGATGAATGTGGAAGACACGCTGTGGGGCGTGTAAGACGTTTCTCAGGGCATATGCTTCCACGTGCCAGCTTCCGGTTCCCACATATCGTCTCTCCTCACGCCTCTGCTTCACATCTGTCTCATCTCTCTGCCTTCTTCCTTTTATTTATTCTGCAGAAAGAGAGTGTCAGTTTTGTTTTCCCTAAACAATTCCCCGCCATATTTGGGTGGGCATCAACAAAGATAATAAACCAGTCCGCCATATTTAATGATCTTCGATCTCCTTCCAACACGTTTTGCTACAGTACTTAACTCGTCCGAGTTTTGAAGGTCATTCGGAACCATTTTTCTTTGAATCGACTAACAGTAAATGAGATATCAGAGCTCACATGCGACAATGGTTTGCTATTACTTTCGATCATGTGTGCCTCAACAAGCAAGGAGGTGCGCCCATGGGATGGCTCAGGAAGCCTACTGTATTTATATGCTGATTGTATGTATCAACATTTTTGCTCGTGTGTAATAGGAGACAGGCTCTGTAAGTTCTCTTGTTTTGTGTCGATTAATTTCAGAACGAACTCGGTAAATATGTTAGCCCAGTGCTGGTCACGGATATTGGGTGGACATCAGCCATATATTCACCTCAAATTAGAACAACCAAAGTTGTATGAATGCTCTTGGTCAAAAAAAAAAAAAAAGTTGTATGAATGCTATAAAACTTATTGTTACGGAAAAATCTAAACTATTATATAATTTTAATGGTTTAGATTTAAAATTTTCAACTAGTAATTTTTAAATAAAAATTATTTTTTTCAAAAAAAAATATGGTTAACAGATTATATTTATTTTGATTTATGTATTTATTAAAAAAATATTTTTTAAAAATAAAAATATTAAATATTAAATACCTGCTGTTCATGTTAAATTTAAATGGTTGAGATTTAATAAGTATTACGTTACCCAACACCTGTCGAAAATAAAGAATATTCCAAACACTACTTTTATTCTTTTTAAGTTTTTTTTTTTTACCAAATTCTTTTTAAATATTAGACGTTTGAGATTAGCGTTCAATAAACTAATAAGTTATTATCTTGTCCCTTACCATTGAGCTCAACTTTACTCCTTACATGACAACCTATCAATTACGACTTTATAAGACAATAATATATTCATTTCTATTAAAAAAGATAATTAAAAAATAATATTACTCAGAAGAATATAATAAGAATCAAACGTAGCCTTATATCATTAAGAATCACAAACTAAGGACCTCCTAAAAAGGCTAACTCTCATATATAAAAAAATGAGTACTGAATTTGAAATTAAATTGTGATTAGTTTTGTCGTTCTCCTCGTATATATCTTTATGTCTGTGAGAAAGGGAAGGGAAGGCCAAAACCCAATGAAAGTAGTACAAGCGGCGGTCTGGGAATGGGGAAACTGTCCCACAAAGCGGAAGGAATCTGGTGCGATGCAGGGACAAGCTAACGACAAAAACCTCAATTTCTCACTCCACTTGCGCCCCTCTAACTTCGCATTCTTCCAATCTCGCCCTCCAGAGTTTATCTTGCAGTTCCTCACCATGTCTTGTTCTTCTCCGGGGATGGGAACATCGGCTCTTCTGGTCTCCATAACAAATACTGAAAGCCCACTTTCTCCTCAGATTTGGGCCTTGACAATTCTTTTTGGGTTGAACTTCTGCTCTCAGGAAACGGCCCTCGGCCCATATTTGGTGCTGGACAAGACAAGCAGGGTGCGGGTCACCCAACAATATTTTTCTTCACACATGGCTGGTGGCTCTGACCACTGAACAAAGAATATTACAAAAATCTGTAATTAATTAATTTTTCAGAAGAATTAAACATCAACATGTAAATTTAAAAATACTAACTTTTAATCTTTCTAAATAATCACAATTTTATGTCTTTATAATAAATGTAATTTTTCAGAGCCTTTTATTTCTATTTCCTCCTCTCTTTTTTTCTTTTTTTCGGTTTAATATATTTTTTGGTCCATCAAATTTTCTCGCTTTTTATTCCTCAACTTTCAAAACATAGGTTGTAATCCTTTAAATTTCATCTCATATAAAACATTTATTCTTATAATCTAATAAGTACTTGGATTATTTTTTTCCCTCAAAGACCAACACCTATGATTTGAAGTTAGGAAGTGTTTAGATCAAAACCAAACTTATCGTTTTAGAAGTGATTTTATAGAATATGAAGTAAATATATAGAAGAATTTGTCTCAATTTAAGAAAAAGTGTTTTTTCCCATCCAAATATTTTTTAAATGATCAAAATTAAAATCAGAGTAATGACAAAAATTATATTAACTTTTTTTCCTTGTCTGACCCTTTTTTTTTCTTCCCTTCCCGCCATTTGTATTGTGTGTCTTCTCTTCCAGTGTTGTTTTCTGGCAAACCCGGGAACCAGCTCACTTCTCTTCCCCTCTGTTCATGCCTTCATTACGTTCCTTCTTCTCTCCCCCATTCTTTACCCCGTCAGGTCTCTCTTTCGTCTTGAATTTTCTCTCACAACCCCTAAAACTTTCGCGTTCAAGCCCATCCTCTTGCCTACACATAATCGCTGTCGCAGCATGTCGTCACGACCTTCTGCCTTCGATGCTCTCATGTCAGGGGCTCGTGCCGCCGCCAAGAAGAAGCCCCAATCATCGTCTCCCCAGAAACGGAAAACACCGGATTCTAATTCAAGTCAAAACCCTAAACTCCTCAAGAACACGGAAAGTACAGGTCAGTCTTTGGAACCCAGTAATGATACTAAATGCGCTGAAATTAAAGCTTCCGAGAAGGCACAAGAGCCGACGAAAGAAGACTTAAGCAATGGTGGGCTGACGGGGCCAGAGGATGCACTTGCGGCGAAGAGAATGCGCGTTGTAGGTTCCCAGGAGAAGATTACAGAACTGAAGAAAAAAGTTTCTCTTTTGAAGAAGAAGCCTGCAGATTTTGACCCCAGTTCGATATCTTGTTGGGACAAGGGTGAACCTGTGCCTTTTCTGTTTCTCAGTTTGGCATTTGATATGATTTCGGAAGAAACAGGACGGATTGTGATGACAGATATAGTATGCAATATGCTGAGGACTGTCATGAACACTACACCCGAGGATCTGGTGCTGTTGTTTATCTTTCCGCAAATAAGTTTGCTCCGGCACATGAAGGGCTGGAATTGGGAATAGGGGATGCTTCAATTATTAAGGCGCTTGCAGAGGCATGCGGAAGAACTGAGGCGCAGATAAAAAATCAGTATAAGGTGATGCTTGTGGGGTTTTAGCTTTTGCCCAAACATTTGATAGCTTACCCTGCATGAGTTCTGCATTGTTATTGTCTTCTTTAACAAAAAGAATAAGTCTGCCCGCATCTTGTTTTGTGTTCTTCGCCAGAGACTGAACAGCCAAATTGTTGGTCGATTTTTAATCCCCGTATGATAAATACAAGGACTTTCCTTACGTTGGATGCTAGCGTTATTATGGAGAAAGAGATGGGAATATAATTATGATGGCTTATCCTCTAGTATGCGTACCCATGCAAATGCATACGGTTAGATTTGGTATCATGGGGGCACCACATGACAGACATTAAAATTTCGCTTTTCCTAATTTATGAAATGTAAAGCCTCTTGTGTAGTCTATAATAATTCCTTTTGAAATGAAATTTGATCAAAGAAGTTCATATATCCTCAAGAACTTTGTTTCTGGTTGGTAGCACTTATTTGTTGTTTGTTATTGATAGGAAAAAGGTGATTTGGGCCTTGTTGCCAAAGCAAGCCGCTCATCTCAATCAAT